AAAAAAAAAAAAAAAAATTGTTTAGCAACGCATAAAATCATGAATTCACCACCATATGACAGAAAAGAAGATTACAAGTCTTTTACGGAAATCAGATCGTAATTGTCAATATAATACTCAAGCTGTCATTAACATAATAAACTAGTATGGTGACTATCATATTTTTTTTGTGAAACCATAAATCACAGTTGTTTTAACCAAAAAAAAAGAATGTTGTAGCAAAAAAAAATTTTGTTTGGGTTAGCTGTATATTTTTCTCGTGCACAACTTTACACCAACTATATGCACACTTGATTATTTATTTTCCAAAAAAAAGGTAAAATCCGATAATTTTAAGCTCTTGCAATTGATATATTTTTCATCCACAAAGTCAATTGAAAATTTTTAATTCCTTTACAGGTAGCGAAGAAAGTTTGAAAGATGTCGACGTCGAGCGTGTAAACGTGTGATCCAGAAAAAAAAAAAAGCCGAAGGAACAACCAAACAAAAATGGTGATATCCTGGTACTCGCGAGTCCTCGCGCACTACCCGTGCATCGTGCTCATAATTGTTTTCGTATTCTCGATGACGTGTCTCATCGTGCCATTGACCACGAAAAAATTTCCAGACTTTTCTGATCCGCAGCTCGGGTTCGAGGCGCGAGGAACTCCACTAGCGCAGCGGCTAACGGCGTGGAAAAATTTAATAGAGTCGTCGAGTCCCAGGGGACACCTCGTCGACAACCCTCTCGAGTACTACTATTACCTGCAGGACGTTCATCAGCAAAGGGAAAACTTGGCCAACGAAGTCAACGAAACACTGCCCGGCAGGAACAAACACAAGAAGCACAAGAAGAAGCACCGCAAGTACAAGCACAAGAACAAAAACGCCGTAAACAAGCACAGAATCGACAAAAAACGGGTTCGCAATGAATCGTCGGATTTGAGGATTAAAAGCCATCGCACGCGCGACGACGGGGATGAAGACGACGACTACAACGAATATCGCAGATCAGTGAAGCGATACTCGAACTACGCCGATGGATTTTTTTGCAACGACCCGAGCTCCGCCTACGCCAGGGTGGTCGTCACGTCCAAGAGTAAGAAGAAAACGAATTTGTGGTCCTTGGAAGGAGTCAGAGCTCAGTGCCACATCGACTCCGCCCTGAGGGCCAATCCGCTCTTTCCTTCGATCTGCCAGCGGCAACTGCAGTACCAACACAAGTGCTGTCGAAGCTGGTCTCCGGCAAACTACATAGCTCTTTTGTCGAACCGGACCTCCTGTTCCATGGTCACCAAAGAGGATTTGGCCAGCGTCGAGAGCATTTTGAAGGAGTGCTTCTACTTTTATCAAAAACTCGAGTTGACCCCCGATTGCTCCGAAGATCTGAAATGCCAGCGCAAAGTGCCCGAGCTTTGCTACGCCAACAACAACAACGCAGTCTACCATCTTCTCCATTACCTCGTGGACGTAGATTTTCTCGCCAACAACGGCAACTCCACCGAATCGCCCTTGTCCTCCGTCATGATTATACTGCCCACGGCCGCGAGCTCTTCCAGTTTCGACTACTACAAAGACATAAACCTCGACGAGTTGACGTTTGACGATTACTACGTGCCAGCCGTACAATTTGGCTTGAAGAGCACACTCTTCGATCGACAGCTCGTTATGGATTGTGTTTTGCTGTTGTTTGGGTTCAGCATAGTGACGGTCTGCATTTGGTTTTACACCGGATCACTTTTGATCACGATGACCACGATAATAGCCATTATATTTAGTTTAGGTATTTCATACGCAATTTACACTCTAGTCCTAGACATTAATTACTTTCCTTTCATGAACCTGTTGACCATCGTCGTGGCGCTTGGCATCGGGTCCGACGACACGTTCATATTTTGTAAAATATGGGAGTGCAACAAGCGCCAGAAATCCCTGACCGTCAACAACAACTTGAACCGGCTCGTCCACGAGACCATCAAACACGCCATACCCTCGATATTTGTCACCACGTTGACAACGACTATAGCGTTTCTGGCGTCAATAATCAGCAACGTCACCGCCATCAATTGCTTCAGTCTGTTCTCAGGGATCACCGTCATCGCCAATTTCTTCTTGATGGTGACTTGGTTGCCAGCCAGTGTGATAGTTGCCGAGCGCTTCGGCGCCAATTTCATGTCATCGGAGAACTTTGTGGCGCAAAAGATAATCCGACCGCTGTGGTCCCTCGTCGACAAAGCCGAGCACTTGTTCACCAATTGTCTCATAAAAACCGTGCTTTCGCTCAAGTGGTTTTGGTTCTCGTTCCTCCTGAGCGTCGCGATCGGAAGTTGCCTGATCGTCTTCCACTATCCCGGCCTCCGACTGCCGGACACCCCGGATTTCCAACTCTTCACCAGCTCGCATCCCTTCGAGCAATACGACCTGTTCTACGTGAAACGCTTCCACTTCGAAAAGACCGAGCACGGGGATGGCAGCGAGGTTCTGCCCCTGCGCTTCGTCTGGGGAGTTCTGCCCATAGACAACGGCAACTACCTCAACCCCGAGTCCAAAGGAACCTTGGTCATGGACGAGAGCTTCAACGTGAGCGATCGCAACTCCCAGGTCTGGCTGGAGAACTTTTGCAAGGACCTGCGGACGCAGCCCTTCTACCGGAGCACCCTGGGACCGCTTCTGCCCAACTGCTTCATCGAGTCCCTCCAGCCGTGGATGGAGCGCCCCTGCGAGGACCCGGTCGACTCCAACGTCAATTACCTGCCCTGCTGTCGGAACAGCACCTTCCCGTACGAGCCGCAGATCCTCGAGTTGTGCGCCGCCGAGGCCGTCGCCGAGATCCACCGGACGCCCTCGCACCTCTGGAACTTCAAGGCCTCGCGGAGCTCACCGACGGTGGGTCTCAAGTTTCGCAAGCAGAACACCACCGGGCTCAACGAGACCCTCGATGGCAACGACACGCTTACGACGATGATAACGAAAGCCGTGCCGGAGATCAAGGCCGTGATCGTCGAGTACGACAGCAACTTCACGTTCTCCCTGTCGTACGCCGAGATGAACGGCTTCTACGAGGAGGTCGAGACGTGGTTCCAGGAGCAGCTATCCAAGGCCCCCGCTGGCATGAAGAACGGCTGGTTCGTCAGTTACCTGGAATTCTACGAGTTGCAGAGGGCCCTGCACCAAGGGACCATATGGGCGATCATCGTCTCGGTGGCGCTGACCCTGTTCGTGCTGGCCCTCGTGACCTTGAACCTCCTCGTGAGCCTGTACGCGATACTGGCGGTCGGGGCGGCCATAATTGTCACGGTGGCGACCCTCATCCTGATGGGTTGGAAGCTCAACATCCTTGAGAGCATAGCCGTGTCGACCGCGATCGGGCTAGCGGTGGATTTCAGTTTGCACTACGGGGTGAGTTACCGCTCGAGCACCGGGGACAATCGGATCGACCGGATCAAGGCCACCTTGGAGCAAATGGCGGGTCCGACGATCATGGCTGCTCTGACGACCGGGGCAGCGGGGGCGTTCATGTTGCCCTCGCAGGTCCTGGCTTACATACAGATCGGCCTCTTCCTCATCATCATCATGGTGATCAGTTGGATCTACGCCACGTTCTTCCTGGGCTCGATTCTGGCCATCGCTGGACCCTCGTCGCGGTTTGCCCAGTTTCACTACTCGAATTTCCGGCGGACCGTTTTCAAGTCGAACAGAAGGAAGGTCGCCGACCCGGACGAGGTTGAGAGTCACAGGTCCATAAGGATGGTCGAGAAGCCGTCGAGTCGGTCCGAGGAGCCGTGAGGGGGAGGTTTACGTTCGAAAGTGTAAATAGACGAATGACTTTTTCGGTGGGAACATTATTGCATTGCGATGGACGTAGAGTAGTAATTACTAAACTATTGATATTATATTTTGTAACTTTGGAGCTTTTTTTTTTTTTTTACATGTACGAGTAAATTATAAGTTGAATTTATATTATTAGCTTCGTTGAATGTACTGTGTAGGAGGAGAAGAAGAAGAGTGTACGAATTGTGATATCTATGTGTACTTAAAGAGTCTTTGATTTAGTTTATTTTTATTTTGAAATGAAAATTGTACGAAAAGGTGTTTTGTAAGAAAAAAAAAATTTTTTTTTTTTTCGTAAAAAAATAAACAAAAATAAACAAAAACAAAAAAAAAAACAATTGTGTATATATTTAATTGAATAAGTATAAAAAATGTGATGGGAAGAATATTAAAATAAGCGTACTTGGGATTTTTTTTTTTTTTTTTATTGCGTATGACTGACGAGACAATGAGATGAGTATTGTGATATGATGACAGTCATTGCTTTTGTAACTGCGAACTTTCGGTGGTTGATTAACTGTGTACAAATGTGCAAAGCGACCTAATGTAAATTATATTATATGCGTAGCTTACACGAATAAAAACCACTATAATTTGAAAAAAATGTTTCAGTTAACTCGATTATTCTTCATGTATTATCTCTTCCATTGTATTTTATTTTTATTTCCAATTATGAAGCATGACGTGTTATACAAATAAAAAAAAAATTGATAAAAAAAAAAATTCCATGTCATTGTTCATACCTACATCAAAGTTTAATCACTAATGCATATCCCTTCGCACCAATGGTAGAAAGTACCAAGAGGTACCGAATCACACTATACGACAACCGAGGCAATCACTCACCAAGCTAGAATAGTCTCAAAGTCACCCACACGATCCAGAAAAAAAAGAGCATCAAGTAAACATTGCGAAGAAAATTGAAAGCAAGCCCCGGAAGGGTCGAGCGCGAATCCCCGCGCAGTTTTTGGTACAAGTACAGCTCGAGCTCATGCCATTGAATATCGCGATCGTCGAAAGCTCTGGTGAAAGAGCGGCAACACGAGGGGAGAGGAAGGGTTGAATTAAACTATACACACGCACCCTCCCACACACGAGAACACGGGGATGAAGAACAATATACACCAACTAAAACTGAAAGCCCCCCTCGTATTATACATGATACACTCGAACTATATATATATANGCGCAGCCGTCACCTTTGCCGTACCAACCGACCGATCGATAAAAATTTTACAGTATATCCCAACTGGGGATCCGACAGCCTGACGTGCTTCCCCCCTACTAGGGCATCATTCCTCCTTTACTGTCTGGTGCTCTATAGTAAACATTAACCATTGTTCAAACGACAAATATGCATCTTTACTACCAAATGACATCTAATCATTTGTCACCGAAAAATAAATATCTCAATAAGTTCCCTTTGAGCTGCTGATGCCATAATATTTACAGCATTGACTCGCGTTGAGGAAGGGTCGGTGTAATTTTTTCATTTTTACCTCGTTGAATGAGATTACGTATCAACTAATGTCAAAAATTTATCGAGACCCTTACTTGCAATATGGTTAGATTTTTAACCAAATAATGTCCACATTTTTAGTCTCGAGCTTCCTGCGCGAACCAACGATAGGGATGGTTTTTTATAAAAAGAAAATACGTAAAAAGCACTAACAAATTTTGTAAACCCTAATTCACCAGTGTTTAGACTTCGTAAAATGTAAGAGTCCTGCCGATGAATATATATATATGTATGTGTGTTTTTTTTATCCATCATCCTCTCGTCCAAAGGTGCATGGAAAAACGCCTAATGCGCGTGAAATTCACCGTTATTACTTCTCCGTATACCTACAGGTGACGCCGGGTGACGCGGCTTCAAAGATTTTTGCTCGCTGTCAAATTGACGCAATCGTATACCTACACGGTGCACTTAAAACACAACTGGGATTGCTTTTACATATACACCCACGTGCTCCGTTCGTACCCTGGCTATCGCTGTCAGCGAGGCGCGCACGAAAGCTTTTTAGCAGTTGCAGCAGCATCAAGATCGCAATCCGTTCTCTATTGGGCGATTGAATTCCTGCTATCATTTATCGGAAGCATCCAACTGTTATAATTGTGTACGTGACACTGACGACCACTGTTGCGCTGATATATATATATATATATATATATATATATGGTGTAATGAAACGAGTTTTGAGTTTAATGTTATTGCAAGGCACGACTGATCGACAAAAGGATAGCCACACGTTAATCATACACATTTCTATAGTTTGAAACGAATTTTGAAACTAAAGAATTGAGGGTGGCCTGAGTTGCATCCCGGAGTGTGTGTTTCCAGGAAAAATATTACGCTGGAAAAGCCAGGCGTCAACAAAATACAATTATGGGTAGGTGTTCGACATCGTCTCATCGCTTTTTTTTGAGACTAAGAAAGATAAAAAAAAAAAAAAATGAAAAATATCACCGTGGCTAGAGTTTTTATCTGCTGTGGCAAGGTGCAGCTCCTCCCAAACGAGTTAGCATACATTGCAGCAATGTTCTATACTTAGCGATTTTTCGGGTGCTTTTTTGCAATTTTTTTTTTTCCACACAGCTAACACCGATCGCCTTGTCTATCCCGATACAATTGCCAGATAAACGGATTAAGCCTGTCATTTCTTTCGCTCGAGTCTTTTCCGGCAGAAACGTGAGTCGATTCGCCAATACCGGCACTTACTCCGCTGCCGATGTTCCTGCGATACTATCTTCGAATCAACAAAATTCTGCATCCGATGGAAGGTCCATCCATGTAGATCTTGCAATCAGTCACGCCCTGAAAATGTATGTGGCTACTTCTCAGAATGCTTAAAAATGTTTAACTCGTGCATATGGTAATTAGTTATGAAAATTACAAAAAAACTTGTGACACTATGAAAGTGCAGTTTCAAAAAAAATTTTTTTCATCCTATAGTTAAGAATGATTGTTATTCAACGGGTGCAACCTTGTCCTCCCGGTTCGTTGAGGTTTCATGGACGCTATTTTTTTGAAAAAAAAATTTCTTGAAATTTTTCGGTTCGTAGTTGTCATGGTTTTGGCTTTCTCAGATTCGAGTGTTTAAGAAGAGTTACCTCTCTTTGGTTAATATTTTTCTGCAAACTCTACAACATCTTTTTGGTTTTTTAACAGAATCACTGCGGTATATCAGTATCTGAAAATTTTAATCCCAGATTTAAAAAGCCATCAACTGCATAACGTTAACTGTGATATACATAAATTTTAGTGTGTTCTTTTGTTTTTTCATTTCTTGTCAAAACTGTCTAAAAATTTATTTTTGCGTCGTTATTTTTAAAAAATTTTTCTCAAATGTTTTTTTAATACAAGTTTTAGTCTTAATTAATTATGTTCATTGTTATACACAGGTATACATACAAAAAATAAAATACATCAGCACTAGATTTAAATATAGCAAATTTTTGTTCAATAATTTTTTACGAGCTACCAGAAAAACTAAAAATAAAAAAATTCATTCTTGCACAGATTGAATTTCCAAACAATTAACGACTATTCAACAAATTGTGGGTGCTTGGACGAATAATCAATTATTACTTATCTCCTGCAGCAGAAGAATGGAACTTTAACGAAGGTATAACTATGTCGAGCTGCACCTCTTTTCAATTGGATTTTTCAATTATTACATAGCAAACAACAGTCAATGAGCTTGTAGAGGAAAGCAGAATTTATTTAAAATAGCCGCTACATTTCCGACACTGTACGCTCGAAAACTATAGTATAGAGAGTCGGACCATGTTATTGTTTAACGGTGTGGCGCGACAAACGTCAATTATTAATTTAAAATGTAAGTTTTAATTCTCTTGTCATAATCTTCGTAAAAAATCAGTCAAGCCTTAAATGAGGAAAAAAAATATTGATGGAATAAAAAAATTTGCAAATACAAGCGCACCTATTCCCAAAGCAACGCATCGAGAGTGTAATGGGATTTTATGGGTCCCCAAATGATTTTCCCAATAAATTAGCCGGGTCTAATTTAAACGACCCACATTTCTAGCATCGAGAAATGATCAACCAAGCGTTAACTTTTCCCGCGCCCCAAATCACACTGCGTTTCACAATTTCCCATCAAGATGATTAAAAACCCATCAGCACTTCACACTCGGTTGAACAGATCTTGGAAGCGGCGAGACTGTTTATGAATTTTACTGGGTGACGACAACATTTTTTCACGCCTTTGATTGTCATGTAATCATAAAAAAGGTACCGATTCACCAAAATCGATTTCAATGTTTCAGGAATCACGAAAATTTCCAAAAATACAAGATACAAAAGCCCATGGCAATCCAGTACCAGGTCAATTTTCCATACATCCCTCACTTAAAAGCTGCACGCACAATACCCCCACTCACCTTTTGAAGCGAGCAATACTCACCCGTGAAACTTGCTACAATTAGCGGCTAGACGGGGTCGGTGAAAAAAAAAAAAAAAAAAAGAAATGGGTCCAAGGACCTATTCGCCGTCACATCGAAACATGAACTCATTAAAAAAAAGAAATGATCACAAGCTGCTCAAGTGCGTAAAAGCTTTTTTTTTCGAGTATCACGTCTCAGGAGTGCACACCAGCTGGCCCTGTTATACGCCTGAGCGCGAAAAATGAAACTTTAGGACCGTCGAGTATCTTTAGCACTTTGTCGCGCCCTTTGCCTTTGTAACTATGGTCGCACCGCACACCTCGTTATTACGCTTTCACCCCTTGCAGTCTGCCAGTTATATATGTAATGATACGCAGTCTTTCCGTGCATATACCATCTCCAGCCGCAAATTTCTATTAGGCAATCGCTGGGAACGGGTTTAGTTGCAGTGCTCCGTGCTTTCGATTTCCTTCTGGATTTCGTCTTTTGTCCATAGGACGCGCTCTTCTTGCTTCGGCAGTGAAGAATTTGCTCGCTCGAGTACTTACCCCAAGTACACAGTATATGTCATACTTTGGGTATGGTACAAATGGGATATTTTTTTGGGCCCTTGCACCTTTAGCAAACTAGAAATTTCATGGGTAGTTTATTTGAAATTGTTGTCGATGCACGATTTTGCAAAAGGTTTGCTCATAAGAAATTACCAGGTACTCATGATGTATCAGTTGATACTTCAGTTTCACTTTCTTGGTACGAGTATACATTTCTAAAGCTTGTTCAAATTTTTTCAAGTGTATACCATACAATTACCAAAAACCTTCTTTTTTAGTCCATTTTCCTTTAGTTGTCTCTTTTAGACTGATTACTTTACGTACATATTTCAGCGTTATTCAAGATTTCTGTAACACAAATTTTGCGATGTACATTTTATACAAGTTAACTGTTTATTAAAACTATAAAGTTAAAGGGCTGTGCTTCCATGAGTTAATGGTAAAAGGTCTAAAGTATAGTAATTTTGTAAATACAGTCGATTTTATAAGCCATATATAATAAGTAGAATGTTTATGATTTTGGAGGTCAGTTTCTAGATAAAAGATGAATTGTAAACTTGCCGCAAACAGCATAAAAAATATGAACTTTTTATTGTCTATCTATAAAATTAGTTGCGGCTGGTTTATAACCAGTTACATGACTCTACTGTAAATAGTAATAATTATTTGGATCAGCGCCATCTAGCGGTCTTTATTTTTTGGCCAAAAGTGGCTCCCAAAATTCTCAATCAGAGCAATCAGGATTAGAGCCATTTAGTCAATTATAAACCAGCCGCAACTTATGATAAAGCTATAAAATAAAAAAATAACAATACATGTGTTTTTGGCGGCAAGTTAAAAATCTAATTTTTACCAAAAAATTGACCTCCTATGTATTTATACTTTTGAAGATAAATTTTCCAATAAAAGATAAATTGTTTACTTGCCGCCAAAAACACATGTATCGTTTTTTTTTTATTTTAATAGCTACAATATTAGTTGCGGCTGGTTTATAATTGATTAAAAGGCTCTACGCGCTTAAGCTCAGGTTCAAAAGTTTAGGGCCACTTTTTAGTTCAGAAATCCGCAACGCTAGATGGCGCTAATTCAAAAATTATTACTATGTACTTACAGTAGAGCCATTTAATTAATTATAAACCAGCCGCAACTAATTTAGAGGATAAACAATAAATAGTTGACATTTATTCTGCTGTTTGCGGCAAGTTTACTATTTTTTACCTAAAATAGACCTCCACAACCATAAATACTCTACTTATCTTATATGGCTTATAAAAATTGTATAAAAGTGATAAGAAATTTTTTTTGTCAATTTTTTAATTATTTTTGTAAAACATTTATTTATTGTGTCATGGTTGTATAATTCAAAGTTTTGACAATAAAAATTATTTACTAGAGTGATTAGAGCAAATGACACCAGGCGCCCCTCGGTCACGGCGTGATTACCGACTGGCGGACACATTTAAGTAACTTCCGTTGGTATGGTAGATTTACACCCTATTACTACGTAAGCAACGCACGGTTGATAATGCAGCGCACATCACTTGCCTAGTAAGCGTGCAAAGTCAGTAAGTAAGGAAACTTCTGTTGCGGTATAGAAAGGGCGCAGTCAAGCCAAAAGCGGCCCCGAAGAACTCAAAGCTCGCGTATATTCAGTCTGCTCAGTGCTCGAAGAGCGACGACAAGTTCCAAAGTAGTTTCCTTTGTTTTGTGTGCTAGTTTTTACTAGTTGGGTTCGAGTAGAAGGACAAGAAGTAACTAAAGAGGATCAAAACACGAATAAAGCCAACCCAACAGAAGTCGCAAGGAAATACAAAAAAAAAAAAAACCTTTACTCGCATTATTGTCGGGGGCAGTCTATGCACAGGAAGCGCATGTCCTCCTGTATCAACTCGTGTGTCCCGTCGTTCGTGTCTTCGGCCCGGGTTATCAGTATGCCGTGCAACAGAAGCTCCTGAGTGGCCGTGCGTGAAGTGTAGGGTCGCACTGCCCTGTTTATCAGGACCAAAGAGAGCTTTGCCCCCCCCCCCCCCGATAATTGCTAGTGCGGCAAGAGGAGGAGTGAGGGAGGCTGTTCGCCGCACGGAGGAGGCTGCAGCAGCGGCGAGTCCAACGATTTTCTCTGGGTGAGTTTTTTTAAGTCCACCTCGATGTAATGTGCATGGACCTCTGCGCGGGTACGCGTCCTGAACGTCCTCACCGCAGATAGCTCTCCTAACCTATTTTTCCGTCCGCCCACCCGCCGCCGCGTATCTTCCCTCGACCGTATCCTTTCGCTCCGAACCCCCTCTTAACGACACCCTGCCCGTGCCCGCTCTCTCCCTCTCTCTCTCTCTAACGGACTCGATTTTTAATGAGTTCGAAGCCAACGGAAAAGGGCTTGCTATTTGCCATCGGTTTTTGCTTTTCCTAGAAATCCATCCACCCTTTCACCCCTCTTTGTAGAGACGCGAGGGGCGCGGTGTAAAAGTTGCGAGAGAGTCGAGCTCGAGGAGAAGATTCGTGTGTCTGTATATCCGCGGCGCCGCGAGCGCTCTCTCGGCAGCGTGACGTTGAAGCTATAGGGGTGTGTCGGTCTCGCGCGCACACACCGTCGCCGTCGTCTCCTCGAAGTAGTGTATAATATATATATATATACATAAAGTGTTCGACTCCGGCAAGTGTATTTCGGAGCAAAAGTCGTTGATGTTGGTCAACAGTGAGAGGAGTGCCCAGCAGCGAGACAGCCGGGTCCTCCGCAGCGTCCTTTTTTTAAATATTTTTTCTTTCATTCGACCCTAGGACCGCAAGAGAGACCACGGATTTTGTTGCGTGCGTTCCTAGAACCAACGGCGGTTTCCTTGAATTCAGGTTAGAACGAGGGTACTATGCGATTTGCGCGTGGTGCTCAGTGTGTGGGTGTTGGGAATTAAAAAAAAAAAAAAAGACGATAACAATAAGACTAGTGCCGGGAGGTTAGGGCGCGCGTTGCCACAGCGATTGATTACGCTTTGCTGGTGTTGTGTTCGCCGGGCCGGGTTCCCGGCGTCCGTGTGTTCTCTCTGCTGACTTTCCTTTTTCCTCTTCTCTCTCTCTCGACGTTGCTCTTCGTCGACACACTGTTTGCCTCTCTTCCTCCCTCTCTCTCTCCAAAGCGGCTTTCGCGCGAGTGAGTGATATCTTTGTCTCGTGGGATATATACACTCGCCGCCATTTTCTCGATTCGAAGACAGAACCCATCGGAAAGAGAAAAGTATCCGGATACCTTGTGCGCGCATTTCGACCTCCATGGGGTTGTAAACTTTATTTTGACTTTTTGGTTTAAGCCTACGTGTTTTGGTTTCACCTGTCGCTTCCGCGGGAGCCGGGGTAAGGGTATAGTAGTGTCCCAATACTTCTGTACACCACTTGTCTATAAGTTTACCTGCCGGTCTTTACCCTTCAGTTTTTCAATTCATCCATGAGTTCAGTGTACTGACTTTAACATTTTATGACATTAATTCGAACTACTAATTATTTTTTATCTAAGAGTTTTATTTGCTATGCTACTTTTGTTCAAAAAACCAATATCTCAAAGCAAAACAGTATTTTTTCTTATGTAAATTATAGGTAGCTAGTTCATTTAAATGGAATGATTGAGCTGTCGCGTTGAATCAATATTTGTGCAATACAACTTTATTTTCATCAAGTTTGTCCATTAATTCTGCTTGAATTTGGTGCAGCGAATAAAAAGTTTTTCGACCGCTTATCAAATGTTTTCACTGACAAATGGCATGATAATTTTATCATTATTGTTTTGATAATTTACTCTAATACCTCGCGGTTTACTCAGCATATAATATCAGTTTTGACAATGTGATGAGTCATCAGTTGATAAAAAAATGATTGGGAAAGTATGAAAAAATCAATTTCCGTTGTTTTTTACAAGTGTACGTTGTTTGTTCAGCCTACACTAGGAATCAACGTTACAATCATTTTATTTTGAAAAGTCGAGTCTTTGATGCAACTAATCAACCTTAACCATCTCAACGCAACGGTGCACACAAAAACACGGATGAATTACGAAATTTTCCAGCGGCAATGGAGAGCGAAACGCATAGAAAAAAATAAAGCAAGCGGGGACAGAGGCTAAAACGATCGGAGCGTAAAGTTTCGCGTCTCGGTGCGATAATCAAAGCCTCGAAAAAGCCGCTTGCTGGCTATCGCTTGAGAGAAAACACGAAGCCATCGCGAGAGAGAGAGAAAATATAAAGAAACAGCTCAAGCATCAGAAAGTCGCAGAGGCTGCAGTGCAGAAGTAAAAAAACCGGCGCGAGCGACCTGCTGCTCGCGATTGGCTCGTTCGCTCGCTCGTTTCATTTGTTCATGTCACAGGTATACAGGTATACGAAACACATCGTGTACACAGTGGTAGTATGCCACCAATAGCAACTGCATGGATGTGCAATACGACTTTCCGTCTTTCTCTGTGTTGTATAAACTTGCACCACGACGATAGCGATATATAAAGAGGCGATGTACTTGTATATTATATGTGTGCAGACACGGACCAGGAGTTGAACTTGAAGTCGCTCACGGTGTATAGGTACAAAAAAGGGTGTCGAGTGAGTGCCTCAGGACTGCAAGCACGCAGTGTGTACATGTATATATGTATATGCGGTACCTACCGTTTTCGCCCCTTGCTTTTTTTCGTCGTGCTCGCGGGGGCTCCAAGTATTTTTTTTTTTTTTTTCTTTTATTTTTTCGCTTCCCACACGCGCACGTCGTTGTTGTTCGTTGAGACAAAAGGAAACGAAACTCTTCATATACCATAGCCTAGCGCTTGATGAGAGGGTAGTTTTTTTCGTTACCGTATTACGTGAGCAAAGAAGAGCATAGTAGAAACAAGGAGAGCAATAAAAGAGGGGCTTGCGCGCAGAGGGAACCGTTTCACTCGTACTTTTCCGTAGGGGGATGCTCGTTGCGTTGGGAGTAACTACCAACATGGGGAGTGAAAGTTATACTGTGCGTGTGCACATTGTGTGTAAGTATACGTGTATGTATGTATGGACTCTCGCGCCCCTTTGTTACTGTATATTGTATTCCCCACGATTCGGGACTAAGGCGCACGTGACTGTGCCGGGTTTGAATGTGACCTTGAGAATTTCACGTTGTCACCGTTGCCGTGTGCTGTGTACGATGTACCTAGGCAAAATTTTCAATGATGCCAATATCCGTGCATATTCCTTGCAATTTTATATTGCTCCCAATGAATCTGTTGAATATCCCTCGAAAGTCCTAATGTCATTGTTTTCACGAGCTATTAAAACAGATTTTCTTAGGTAGCGCAGTTTTCCCTAGTTTGAGGTATCGCTTTCGGTCCCCAGAGGTGTCGATACAACAAACGCGTTGCGCGTTTATTTTTGGACTTTTAATCGCCGTCGTCGTCGTCAGGTGACGAGCGAGAAACGATTAAACGGAGTTGACCTACTGAATTTCAATATCTTCCGGTGAAAGTCTCTTTTTCGCCATTATACGTAATTCTGTGTAGTATTTCTGTATTTGATTCACGGAGCTAAGCTCATCGTTCGGCTACAGACGATACTCAAGTCCGAAAGTTTAAAATTACTGGCACGTATGTATACACAAATTCGATTGATGGATTGCTTTTTAAAAAACACTTTAAACACTAATTTTGCGTGTAGATCTAAAAGACTGATTTTTCACTTGATCATGTTAATATCAAACTCACAATGTAGTTATTTTCAAAAATGGAACACCCCCCTCAACAAGTGCCCCCAACTCGGTTAATATAATTTTTCTTTCTTCCCTGTGCTCTCCGGTCCTCTAATGGCACGAATGGACAAAAAAAAATTTCAAACATTCTTCTCTCGAACGAGCAGTAAGTATTATTTCTTTTTTTTTTTTTTTTTTTTTTTTTTTTTTTTTTTTTTTTTTGTTTGATGGAGCGGGGAGGGGAAAATCTTCATAAACACCCCAGCTAATCCGGTGGTAGTGTCGGATTCACCCGGTGTGCCTACCGACTAAAAACTAACCTCCCCGCATGGGACAGGTCCGTGAGGACCACTCCCCTAGAAGACAAAAGGGCATAAGAGGAGAAAGAAAAAGGAAAATAATGGAGAATTTCGGAGGCCGACTCGCTCTCGAAGAGATGAGAGGAGGGGGCACTTGCGCATCTGGGCGAAGCTCGAATCTTGGCTTGCACCGGAATAGAGTTAGAGAAGCTTAGATTTTGTGTTATTGTATGTGTGTGTGTGTAGATGTGTGAGTCCGCTGGGTATTGTGTATTTGGAAGCGTACTTGTGATTAGTGTAAGTGTTGTATAGAAGTATTATTTCATCGTCTTCCACCAGCCAACAGTGCACCGCGGCACCACACGTCCCCCCTTGTCCCGCGAGATGACTAGATGAGCGCGCGCGCGCGCGTGCGTATATTTATGATAATCTATGTTTAAACCGTGACATCACCGAGATGCCAAGCCGCGCGGTTTTGCTGTTGCCTGCGACGCTCAGAAATTTCGAATCGCCACTCTTTTTCTCTATAGCCCCTCGTTTCGCCAATGAAAGAAATTATTATATTTCGTATTTAGATCTCCTTTCTGTTTCTCTCTTCCAATCACGCATGACGTGCAAGGTACTTATACAAAGATGCTGTTTAATGGCTCTCTTTCGCCTGTCATTTACATTACCTCGGCAGCAGCAGCGCGCGCAGCTTGTGATTCTTGGAGCTGTACTTATTATTTATGACACCGCGTACGGATGTGTAAAAAGGGGGCGAGCTATTGTGGGTACGTGTGTGTGCGTGTGTGTGGTTATTGGGCACTGGTTGATGGCGGCAGAGGAGCGTAAAAATGTTGGAGGGAGCACACTTATCGGTATAATTTTAGAACGTGTTTGATGTTAGCGGGCAGTCAGACGAAGAGCGGGTGCATGTTTTTTTTTTCTTCTTTTTTTTTTTTTTTTTTTTTTCAGTGTATGAGAAAGAGAGAGAAGTATTCCCGAATCGTTCGCTTTTTTTTATGAAATTTTTCTAACCCATGTGGAGCCTAGAATCGCAGAAGAAGACGTATATTCCGCTGTTGCCAGATATACACGCGGTGTCGATGAAAAATGGGTATATGGTCTTACTCTGGCACACCTCGGCTCTC